TGCGGAAAAGTGTCCGTGGCAAATCTAAATGTGCTTTTGCGCAAATAAACCCCGATCGCCATTTTCACGAGCGGGGCTTTTTTGCGCAAAACAAATCTCAGCTGTCTACACTGGCCCTTTTGCGCCAAACTTTCGGGAGCAGCATAGTATTTCCGCAAAAAGCACTGATTTCTTACAGTAGGAAGTCAGTGCTTTTGCGGAAATTCAAGCGGACAGTGTAGACAGCTGGCAAGTTTTTCCGGAAATGCGGCTGATTTTCTGGAAAAACTGGCCAGTCTAGACACAGCCGTATTGTCTTGGATCTGGCTCCCAGACCTTCTCCACCCTGGCAACTGCTGCTGGAGGTGCTCCCTTTTCATTCTCCTTTCACATCTCATTCATTTCAAGAGGACAATCAAGGAAAGGGGAGAGCTCAGGACATTTTTTCGTCTTACAAGGAAAGTTTCTCTTAATACAAAGTTCTAGGAGAAATGTTAGAGATTCTATAAAAACACTTAAAGATAGATCTAAAAGGATAAGATCTTAATACAAAATTATATGAGTGTGATAATATTACAGGGATTTATCTACACTAGTGACCAGGGCCTTGTGGTGAGGACATCTGGTTCCAGCTCTACCTCACTAAAGCGCTCCACTTTGGGATCTCAAAAGGTAAATCTGCAGGTTATTGGAGGGATTAAATAGATGGCAAATGACTAAAAGATGAACAGGACACAGAACATTTCTTAAGAGGCCAAACCATGGGAAGGAGAACAATTCTCTCTGATCCTCTATAGTCTTGTCACTTATAAAGGCATCAATCATGTCAATAGTGTTAATTGTGCCAATGACCAGGGCTCCACAAATAGTGTAATCGACTTGCCCGTGGCGAGTTGATTACATCCCTGGAAGAGCCGGAGAACAATCTGCACATGTGCAGAGCGCAGAACCACGCAGCTGGCGAGCAGAGCTCGCCGCCCTTTGGCAAGTCCTGCCAATGACAATTGTCTCCCTGTGGAAGTTATTTCTCTCAATCTCACTCTCTCACACACGCACTGTGTAGAAGCAACTATAACTTTCTTAATGGATGTTGATTATTTTCTATTCATGCTAAATCAATATGCAACTGATGATGACATATTAAAGGGACTTTTCTATGATTCACAGGGGTCTAAAATATGCAGATACTACAAGAAATCTAATTATTGGTTATACATTCTATATACAGTGTAGTCATGTGGACTGAAGAAAAAGAGCTGGATGAAATGTTCTGGTGATATCCCTTAAATCAGGGGTTCCCAAACTTTTTGACACAGGGACCAGTAAATCCATTCATGACCTTTTGGAGGACCAGTAACATTCATTTGCATATTCATTAAGCAAATGATGAATATTCAAATGAGTTGTTTCTGGTCCTCCCAAAGCCCCCATGCCAGCGTTAGCAAAGCTTTTGATACAGTCACCCACAATATTCTTGCCAGCAAGTTAAGGGAATATGGATTGGATAAATGGACTGTAAGATGGAGAGAAAGCTGGCTAGATTAGGGTTCCCAAACTTTTTACTTTAGTTGGAACCCGGTTTTTTAAATAGTTTTTTGCAGCTCAAAAATATAAACACATATAAAAAAAACTGAAAATTAATTTGTTTTTCAGTTTTTACCTGGCTGCATCCTCCACCCAACCTGGGCCAGGGCTTGGGGGACCAGGCGCTGCGTGGGCACTCCAGGAGATGGGAGCAGGAGCAGACTGGGGGTAGGGTAGCTGTCTAGGAGCTAAGGAAGGGTAGGGTTGCCAGGGGTCTGGTTTTGTACCAGACAATCTGATATTTGAGGGTTTTGTCTGAGAAACAAATTGAGAAATTACCAGACATAGAAAATGTCAAGTATTTTCTAATTAGGTACGTTTTATTATAATTCGGTGCGAATTTATTATAGTCCTTAGCTGCAAACAGCCTGGATAGTAGATGTGCTCACGCTGCCTGAGTGTGTCTACCTAGCAGGCAGTTCGCAACTACTTGAGGGAAGGTATGTGGAGGGGTGGTGGCAAAATGGAATCCCCAAGCAGACTCACTTCTCTGCCAGAATCAGTAGGGTCTGCATATGCCCAGGTCAGTCCTGCCTCCCCCCTCCTCCCAATCTCTCGGTCAAGCCCAGCTTCCCCCCCGTCCAGCCCTGCTTCTTGCAGCTGGTTCTCCATCCTCTTCCTCCTGTTCTCCCCTGGCCAGTCCCCCCGCCCAGCCCTGGTTCAGCCGCCTGCCCTCCCAGACTTCTGCTGGACAGCCCCACTGCCTCCAACCCTGCTTCCGCCTGCCTGCCTGCCTTGGGGGTGTTATCTCAAAGATGGAGGGGACTGACATGTAGGTCACTGAAAGGCTACATTAAGGAGAAAAGAATCCCATGAGCTCTCCCTCCCCCAGTTTAGGTGCTACTGTGAAGGGGGAGAAGGAAGACACACCTCTCCCTGCCAGGGCAGCTCTGGGGCTGGAACCGTGGGATAGCCAACTGTCCTCTGGCCACGGCAGGTGTGGGCCAGAGTTGAGGCCAGTGGATAGAGGTATCTCTTCTCACCAAAGCCCTATAAGACTGCATGGCATTTAATAGACTGTATCATAGCCAACTGGCCAGGCAGTTTGAAGAGAACTCAGGTTATAGGTTTCTCCCCTCTGTGGGTCCTCCAAAGGCTAACAAGATTTGAGCTCTAACTGAAGCTTTCCCCACAGTCAGAGCAACTGAAGGGTTTTCTTCCCTCTGTGGGTTGTCTTATATTTAACAAAGTCTGACCTGTTTGCAGAAAAGGCTTCAATCAGAGCTGTTACAAGGTGACTCACTTGTATGGATTATCTGATGGCTAGTAACGCAGGAGCACTGACTGAAGCTTTTCCCACAGACAGAGCAATTGAAAGGTTTCTCTCCTGTGTGGGGGGTCCTATGGTTAACAAGGTTTGACTTCTGCCTGAAGCTTTTCCCACAGTGAGAGCAATTGAAAAGTCTCTCTCTTATGTGGATCCTCCTATGGGCAACAAAGTCTGAACTTCCATTGAAGTTTTTCCCACAGTCAGAGCAACTGAAAGGTTTCTTTCTTGTGTGGGTCCTCTTATGGATAACAAGGTTTGACTTCTGACTGAAGCTTTCCTTGCAGTCAGAGCAACTGAAGGGTTTCTCTCCTGTGTGGTTCGTCCTATGTCTAACAAGGAGTGAGCTGCTACTGAAGTTTTTCCCACAGTCAGAGCAATTGAAAGGTTTCTTTCTTGTGTGGGTCCTCCTATGGGTAACAAGGTTTGACTTCTGACTGAAGCTCTTCCCACAGTCAGAGCAATTGAAAGGTTTCTCTCCTGTGTGGGTCCTCTTATGGTTAACAAGGTTTGACTTCTGCTTGAAGCTTTTCTTGCAGACAGAGCAGCTGAAGGGTTTCTCTCCTGTGTGGTTCATCCTATGTCTAACAAGGTGTGAGCTGCTACTGAAGTTTTCCCCACAGTCAGAGCAATTGAAACGTTTCTTTGTGTGGATCCTCTTATGGGTAACAAGGTTTGACTTCCGACTGAAGCTTTTCCCACAGTCAGAGCAATTGAAAGGTTTCTCTCCTGTGTGGGTCCTCCTATGGATAACAAAGTCTGACTTCTGACTGAAGATTTTCCCACAATCAGTGCAATTGAAAGGTTTCTCTGTGTGGCTCCTCCTATGGTTAACAAGGTTTGACTTCTGCCTGAAGCTTTTCTTGCAGTCAGAGCAGCTGAAGGGTTTCTCTTCTGTGTGGTTCATCCTATGTCTAACAAGGTGTGAGCTGCTACTGAAGTTTTCCCCACAGTCAGAGCAATTGAAAGGTTTCTTTCTTGTGTGGATCTTCTTATGGGTAACAAGGTTTGACTTCAAACTAAAGCTTTTCCCACAGTCAGAGCAATTGAAAGGTTTCTTTCTTGTGTGGATCTTCTTATGGGTAACAAGGTTTGACTTCAAACTAAAGCTTTTCCCACAGTCAGAGCAATTGAAAGGTTTCTTTCTTGTGTGGATCTTCTTATGGGTAACAAGGTTTGACTTCAAACTAAAGCTTTTCCCACAGTCAGAGCAATTGAAAGGTTTCTTTCTTGTGTGGATCTTCTTATGGGTAACAAGGTTTGACTTCAAACTAAAGCTTTTCCCACAGTCAGAGCAATTGAAAGGTTTCTTTCTTGTGTGGATCTTCTTATGGGTAACAAGGTTTGACTTCAAACTAAAGCTTTTCCCACAGTCAGAGCAATTGAAAGGTTTCTTTCCTGTGTGGGTCCTCCTATGGATAACAAGGTTTGACTTCTGACTGAAGCTTTTCCCACAGTCAGTGCAATTGAAAGGTTTCTCCCCTGTGTGGCTCCTCCTATGGGCAACAAACTTTGAGCTGCTACTGAAGCTTTTCCTGCAGTCAGAGCAGCTGAAGGGCTTCTCTCCTGTGTGGTTCATCCTATGTCTAACAAGGTGTGAGCTGCTACGGAAGTTTTCCCCACAGTCAGAGCCATTGAAAGGTTTCTCTACTGTGTGGGTCCTCCTATGTCTAACAAGGTTTGACTTCTGCCTGAAGCTTTTCCCACAGTGAGAGCAATTGAAAAGTCTCTCTCTTATGTGGATCCTCCTATGGGCAACAAAGTCTGAACTTCCATTGAAGTTTTTCCCACAGTCAGAGCAACTGAAAGGTTTCTTTCTTGTGTGGGTCCTCTTATGGATAACAAGGTTTGACTTCTGACTGAAGCTTTCCTTGCAGTCAGAGCAACTGAAGGGTTTCTCTCCTGTGTTGTTCATCCTATGTCTAACAAGGATATCAAGGATTGACTTCTGCCTGAAGCTTTTCTTGCAGTCAGAGCAGCTGAAAGGTTTCTCTCCTGTGTGGGTCCGCCTATGGGTAACAAGGTTTGACTTCTTACTGAAGCTTTTCCCACAGTCAGAGCAGTTATGGGGCATGTCTTTTGTATGTATTATCTGATGGTTTGTAAAGTGCGAGTGCTGACTGAGGCTTTTCCCAGAGCGAGAGCACTTAAAGGGCTTCTTTCCTGTGTGGGCGTTTTGATGTTCAATAAGAATTTTACAGTTATTACAAGTGCAGGGTGACTGTTGATGGGGGATTTCCTGTTGAACGGTTTCTGTGTTTCTTTTTTCCCCTCTGCTGCTCTGACTGGATTTACCCTGTCCCACTCCTGGCTGGTTTCCGTGCTGCCTTTCTGAGCTATGCTGACTGTCGCAGCTCTCTCCCTGATCACGTATCTGGAAAATATGCCCTTCAGGTCTTCCCAGTAACATCCAACATGGAGCCACTTGCTTTGGTTCTCCCTGCTGAAGACTTTTCTCATGGTTCTCAGTCAGTGTCCCATCATCTGCTGGGATAGAGAAATAATTCATACAGGAGTTATTGTCCAGGATGAGCTGAAAGGAAACCCGGGAAGACAAATAGAAAAGGGGACACACACTCAAATAACGATTGAATTATCATGAGCTGAGTTCATCCTCCCTCTTCACAACCTTTCCACAGAGGAGAGAACCGAGCCTTCCCCCCTCCACCCACCACACGCTCTGGTTCGAGTTGAAGACAGGCTGAAGAGTCAGACAGACTTAATGAAAAACATAAGTTACACCTCCTATAAACTGGTTTCTGAGTCAGTTTCACTGATTGCTCACCTGTGTGGGTGTTGCTGATGATCTCCCCTTCCTCACAGCTCTGGGGATCTGGGACCTGTAACTCCTCCTCTTGGTCCACACAGGAGACCACAAGAGCTTCAGAGACTGGAAATCCAGTTTGGAGAACAATGAACCAAATGCTTGTTCATTAAGGTCTGTGCCACTGCTGCTTCCAGAAACAGGATCTGACTCACCCACCCAGAGAGGCTCCTTCCCCACCTTGCAGAGACTGGGGTCTGAACGGTACAAGAGCCATTGGTACACGCTCATGTGACGTAGTGGGGGGAACCTTGCTGGTTGCTATGCTGGGCAGTGGGTTGTGGGGACAAGGGTTACAGCCTCACAGAGATAAAAAGCCAAGGGTTTAAAACAGGGCCAGACAAACTAACCGTGATCAAGGCCTGCTGCACAGGCTGCACAAAGCAGCAAACACTCTACAGACAGACTCAAACTCACAGTGACCCTAGGGTCAGGGGCCTGCCTCTCTCCACTCAGGAAAGGACAGCTCAGTGTTAGCACAGCACATGGAAACTGGACACTGTGGTGTAGTGGGGGTGCTGTCTGCTCTGTGACCCGGGGTCCCCCTGCGCTGTGATGGGAGATTCTCACTGACTCTCCCAAATGTGGATTAATCCAGACACCCAGGCTAAGCCTCCCAGGAAGGGAGATGAAGGAGGGCAGAGACCAGCACCTAGCTGGGGAGCAGGGCTGGAAGAGAGTTTTTTAGTTTCTGTCTGGAATCACGGAGGATGCAGCCTAAGTAAGGGGCTGGGATTTAGGGGCCCAGTCTCCCCCATCTCAAGGGGGGCTGAGGCATTCTAGGCCTGCCCTGGAACCGGATTACATCTGTGCTGTGCTGTATCCTGGAGAAGCAATAAACGCCCTCTGTTCTACTGGCTGGTGGAGTCTGTTCAGGCCATTACGGGGGTGCAGGAGTGGGAAAACCCCAACATGCTGTCACATCATCTGCAGTAAAGGTGCATCACCCCTTGGCCCCCCTCTCCCCCCACACACACACTTCGGAATGGCCCAGCCTTTCTCCAGGACAGCCAAGCGCTCTCCTGTACTCTAGGTTACAACTCAGTCCCCCTCCCAGCCCGTTCCAACCCCCTGGCATATCAGGGCAGGACAGGAACACACTGCTCAGAAGGGGAGCTCTAGGGAGGGCTGGCAGGTGTGACACCAAGGCCCCCAGGTAGGGCTCAGACTGTAGTGGTCACATGGCAGGTCTCTAGGACTTAGAGAGGAAGAACCCAGCAGACCTCAAAGCCTGCTAAGGGCTCTGCCCACAAAGGCTGGGGGACTTCTGTCTGGGGGCTCTTTGGCTCAGATGTTCTACTTGGGTCAAAAGGAGGCAGAGGCAGTTGCCTGAGCAGCTAAGTGAATCCTTGGCAGGCTGTTTCAGGCCCTACCTATGTGCCACACTCCTGATCCCAACTGCCTGCGTCTGGGTGGGCCCTGCTAGCTACCCATAACAGCTGCCATTCCCTCGGCTGCCCAGAGTGGTGCTGGGCTACTCCAGGGACCATCCAGTGCGGAGCTGGGCCGTGCTGCTTCTCTGCTGCTTCTGGGTGTTGCTCGGCTCCCCCTCTGTAGCCTCCGTTCTACTCTGCCAGCAGCA